ATAGAAGAAAAAGTAGGCCCAAGTCTCCATCATGTCAGATTAGGCCCCAACTTCCTTAATAAGACTCCTATAGCACAAGAATTAAAATCAAGAATCAATAAATGAGATGGATTCAAACTAAAAAGCTTCTTCTCAGCAAAAGAAACAATCAAGGAGGTAAATAGAGAGGCTACAGAATGGAAGCAAATTTTTAACACACGCACATAGCTAGAGCACTAATCTCCAGAATATATAAAGAACTCAAAAATCTTAACCCCCCAAAAAACAAATAACCCAATCAATAAATGGGCTAAGGAACTGAACAGACACTTCTCAGAAGATGATATACAATCAATCAACAAATATATGAAAAAATGTTCAACATCTCTAGCAATTAGAGAAATGCAAATCAAAACTACTTTAAGATTTTATCTCACTCCAGCCAGAATGGCAGCTATTAAGAATACAAACAAGGGGCTGAGGTTGTGGCTCAGAGGTAGAGCACTTGCTTAGCATGTGTGAGGCACTGGGTTTGATCCTCAGCACCACATAAAAATAAAATATTGTGTGCACCTACAACTAAAAAAATATTTTTTTAAAAAAGAATACAAACAGTAATAAGTGTTGGTGAGGATTTGTGGAAAAAGGCACACTCATACATTGGTGGTGGGACAGCAAAATGGTGCATTCAATATGGAAAGCCGTATGGAGATTCCTTGGAAAACTGGGAATGGAACCACTTTTTGACCCAGCTGTCTTACTTCTCAGTCTATACCCAAAAGTTGTGAATTCTTTTAGTTTTTGTTTATCATGGAAGGTTTTTATTTCATCTTTAAATCTGAAGCTTAATTTTGCTGGATATAGGATTCTTGGTTGGCATCTATTTTCTTTCAGAGCTTTGTATATGTTATTCCAGGACCTCTTAGCTTTGAGGTTCTGGGTGGCTTCATCTTTTTCTAAAATTTCTTTTTCTGACTTTTTGTTTGCTATAGGTTCTTCAGACCAGAGGTAGTTCAGTGTTGACCTGGGTACCTCCTAGAGTATTGCTAGGAGCTGGAGATCCTTGGGTTAATCTAATTATGATTAAAACAAGAGAGGTTTGAGCTACCACTAAAAATATTTGTGTATGTTGGCTGCTGAATGGTGTATTACCTTGCTACAGTTCTTTTGGAGCTGGGCATCTAGTTTGGACCTTACTGAAAAGTGTAAGGTCATGTTTTCCATTAATCTAGTTCCCAGTATTTCACTCAGGAGATTTTTCTACTGAACTTGATTCTCTGTACTTGAGAAATTCTCTGAATTACCTTTAAATTCTACATTGAGTGTGGTTTTCTGCCTAGGATTGTTTTTACTTAAGGTGGTAATTTCTACTCTTTGTACAAATAGGTACTTATTTTTCTATTATCTTTAGAATTGTTTGCATCAAGAATTTTCCAGAACATAGAGTCTCAGGTGGAAAACTTAATAGAATCACAGTTTCTGCTTAATATTTTTTTCTTTTTTCATTGTGACAAGTGAGAGTGAAGTTTGCATGGTATTGATACACATTATGGACAAATAGGAGACATGCCTTAAATTTTAAAAATTCACTATAGTATATATCTATGTTTTTACTACAAGTATGTATACATACACCCATGTATGTAAATTTTAATCCTGTACTTTTACTTATTAAACTTCTTGGATTATTTTTAGGATGCCTTTTCTGTAGTCATGCTATTTAATGAACATTAAAATGTAAAAAGCAATTTTCCTAAAACTGTATTCGTTTTGTCTCTCTTCTTGTCTTTTAAAATAGAGTTAGGGAAGAATTAAGGTGCCCTCTAAAAATCAAACTGTCATAGCAGGGCAGGACAGGTTTGCCTGCTTTTCCACACTTGTCATATAAAAGAAAACATTGTACTTTTATGATACTTAATATTACACTTACCTGAAACATCCAAGCTGTGTGGTATGAAATACTACTATTACATGGAAGAACTCCTGGAAAGGGACACTGACATTGGATAAGAGCAGTAAAGCTTCCCTACCCCATGTACCTTAGTTATTGAAATATTTCTGGACATGTGGTAAAGGGGACACATCTTTAGTCTTTATACTAAAGTATTAGCCTCTGCCCTCAAATTAGTATTCACATGTTTCATTCAGGAGATGTTTCTGCTTGAGTTCCATATACCCTCTGGGACCTTGCTGTTTCACACGGTGAATTTCAGAGGTGCCACATCACCATTTACCATATGGCAGTATACAAAAGAGAAATAGTAATGATATATGTACTACTTTATTCTCCATTTAAAAACTGCGGAGTTTAAAATTGCAGATTTTTTAGTATTGATTTAACAGATGGAAGTTATATTTAAACTTATTAAGTGAAATAATTACTGGGTTCATTCCTTGTTCCTATCCATGTAATTCAGAGTAAGAGGCCTATGCTTCAGTCTATTCTGCTCAAGCTTTCAAATTCCTTCGACAGTCTGGATGTGAAATTCAAAAGCCATTAATGTGATGTGTTAATTTTGCACTTTTTGACTTACTGCAAAAAATCTTATAGTTTCCATAGCAACGATATCCTATCCAGATTGTGTAATATTCTTTACAGTATTAAAAATAAAACTATGCAATTGCATGAGCTTCTGGAGCTCTTCATTTAGGGAAATAGGGAATTGAAATATTTCTGTTGAAAAATGTGATCACTTGTGAAAAATTTGTCAGAAAGCTTTTATAATTTTGTTTTAAGAACTTATTAAACTTAATAAGAGATACCTGGTAGTTAATTTACTTGTTAAATGTATAATCTGTACATTTTAAGCATTGTGTCAGAGTATCTCAGGCATATGTGCTGTCACACACGTACTTGGCTTTCATTTTATTTGGTTACCTGCTGTTTATGCTTTTTCGAGACTTCTGAGTGATCTGAAGAAATAGGAAGCATTATGGAGAAAAGAGAAAAAATGATCACTTAAGCTTTCCCTGATTTTTGACCTTGGTCTTTAAAACATGCCCAGACTCTCACTTTGAAAATATTAGAGATTATCCTAGTAGTTGATTATTTCCAGAATATTAAATTATTTTGATTCCTCCATTCTAGTTTTTTTGTGGGGGGAGTGGCACCAGGGATTGAACTCAGGGAGGGACATTTGACCACTGAGTCACATCCGTAGCCCTATTTTGTATATTATTAGTGATGGGGTCTAACTGAGTTGCTTAGTGCCTTGCTAAATTGCTGAGGCTGGCTTTGAATTTGTGATCCTCCTGCCTCTATCTCCGGGGCTGCTGGGATTACAGACCTGCGCCACTGAGCCTGACCTTTATTCTAATTTAAAAGACAATATTACTTAGTGCTTGGGTTGACTTAATTTCCTACATCTTAACACAATTGTTTTTAATTTTTGTATTATCTCCAACATATGTATAGATGTATATATATTTCTATATAACATAATTTGTGCATTTTCTTAGTGGTGTATGGTAGACATTTACATGTTTCTAATGACCATAGCCATCATTTTAATAATTATATCACAGACCATCCTTTTTTTTTTTTTGGGGTACTGAGATTGAACTCAGAGACTCTTAACCACTGAGTCACATCCCCAGCCATTTTTATTTTTTTATTTTGAGACAGGGTCTCACTAGATTGCTTAGGGCCTCAGCCTCCCAAGTCACTGGGATTACAGGCATGTGCCACATGTCATGGCTACAGTCCATCCTTTTGACATATCTGGGGTATTTTCTGTTTATCAAAATGCTGCTTATTTGCTGAATGGCATATCTTGGAAGAAAAATGTCCATGATTTTCACGTTGACTATGGGAGAAAGAAATCATAATTTTATAATTTCTTATACAATGAAATCATTTCCCCAAAACATAGGTGATTGTGATAATCTTTAAAATGCATGCAAAAATATGTTTTTAAAGCATGTTATGTTTTTAAAGCATCTTAAACTGCTTTATCGGCTAGTAAACACAGATAAATGAGGAGAATAGTTATATAGGACAAATTTGTCATTTTTTTGGCATTTTAATGCATCCATTATGTCCTGATGATATCTTGCTGAGGCTCTACTCCAAAGACAAAATTTGGAGGGCGTGAATTATGCCCCTGTTATTAGAACAACCCCGTATATGATCTGTAGTTCCAGCATTCAGCTGGGGTCCTTGTGTATTTTTGGTGTTAGTGTCTCAAAGATACTTTATTCACCAGCTGCTCATCTGATGTTGGTTCTATGGGTTTGTATCATCATTATTGAATTCCTAGTTACTCTGATTAACTATTAGGAATTCCGAGATCCCTAATCCTTTTTCTATTGTTTGCAAAACCAACGGTAACTACTGAGTTTCTTGTAGAGTTTCCTGAGAAATGAGATGTTGGTGGCTATGTTTTGAAGTCTTAAGGGCTTTTGGTTGGGGGTCTTAGAGCTTTTGAATATCCCTTATTCTAGTTGAGACTCAGTTTTCTAGGTGAGAACAGGTTCCTTGTCCTGTGAATGCTTTTTATACTATGAAATTACTTTAAATGACTCTGGGAGTTTATGTCTGTCAGTTATTTTTTTAGTGAATGTTTATAACAGAATGCTTTCATAGACTTCAGATAATTAAGACAGGAGTAGAATTATCTTGCAATATGTTTGAGTTTATATTTATTCTTGTTTACTCTTCAAAACTAGTGCTGTGTTTAGTATCCTATTCTGTTCAGTTTTGAATTTTGTGTTTTGGCACTGTCTGGTATTTTCATTATGACATGAATTGCTTTTTTAATTTCTTATTTCTGTAGTTGAAATATTATCAAAAATAGTAAGTGAGGAGCTGGGGATATAGCTCAGTGGGTAGAGTGCTTGCCTCACATGCACAAGGCCCTGGGTTTAATCCCTAGCACCAAAAAAAAAAAAAGTGATGCATGGCATAGTGGCTACATATCTCCGAGAAACTACACGAATTCCTGTTGTTTTTATAGTTACAATTTTGAGTCTGAAAGTAATATATGAAAAAATAAAAAAAATTTGTTTTTGTTCATGTGCAGAAAAGATGAAAAGGAATATGCGTTGAAGCAAATCGAAGGCACAGGAATATCCATGTCGGCTTGTAGAGAGATTGCAGTAAGTGGATGTAAATACAGTTGCTTATCTTATTATTGATATTGGGTGATGATTTGTTGTAATCTGAGTATAATGTATACAATACATAGTTATTTCACAGATGTTAGTTTAAGGATGTTTTATATTAAGATGAGAAAATTTGTATAAAGTTAAAATTATTTGAAAGTTGTCTTTGAACATTCTCTTAATGATATTTAGGATATTATAATCTTAGAAATACTGAACAAAATAATGATTCAATTAAAATTAGAACATGATTATTTTAATTAATAATTCCCTATAGTTTTAGGATTGTTATTTTTATGTAGGGAAAGGAGTCATATTATTATCTTATGCATTTAAAATTTTTAGGAAATATATAACTTAGTGATAGATTTTACTAGTTGCCAGAAAAGATTATCATAATAATCCTTTAAATAACGATAGTTCCTTTTTTGTCTTACTATGACAAATTAATACCTATGCAATTGAGAAATGATTATCTCTTAACAGTACCTAACATTTGCTGGGTGCTTTTAAGTTCATTTAATTTTCACCACAGTCCTGTGAAATAAGCACTTTTAATATCGCCCTTTTAAAAAAATTATTTTAGTTTTTTTTAAATAACTTTCTATTTCAAACCAAAGGGATTTTTTTTAAAGAGAGAGAATTTTTTTTTAATATTTATTTTTTAGTTCTCGGCGGATACAAATATCTTTGTTTGTATGTGGTGCTGAGGATCGAACCCTGGCCGCATGCATGCCAGACGAGCGCGCTACCGCTTGAGCCACATCCCCAGCCCTATTTTAATTTTTGATAAACCTTTATTTTGTTTATTTATATGTGGTGCTGAGAATCAAACCTGTTGTCTCACACATGCCAGGCAAGTTTGCTACCCCTGAGCCACAGCCACAGCCCTAGCCCTTAATATCCCCTTTTTACAAATCAGAAAACAGACAAAACGGTAGAAGGCATAATATGATAATACTTTATTTTAGTTCTTCAGCGGAGATTGCTAATTAGGGTATTATTATGATATTACGTGTTAGAAACTTTTATCTCTAAATTGTTAAATTCTTAAATATTTAATTGTTATTTAGTAATTGTTCAATAATTGTTTATATTGTTCATGTCTGTTAGAAATTTCAACCTCTAGTAACTATTACATATATTACCAATAGTTCCACATTTCTGTTTTACTCATATGGAAACACTCCTTCATCACTCTTAGTCTGGCAAGAAGTCTGCTTGAAATTAGAATTAGATGTCTGTTTGTCTAACTGGCTAATGAAGGGAACTATGAAGTCCTTCCAAATCATAAATTTTTAAATTAAATGAATAAATAGAACTTTAAAAATTCCATTAGTTATCCATGATGCTAAGTTTGCTTTACAGTATAAGTTTATTGTTGGAAACTTTCAGTTTGGTGGTTTTTCATTACTTCTGAAGCGATTTTATAATGTCCTACCAGAATAAGTATTTGATAAGTGATTTGTTGTTCCTTAAAATTCTTACACATTATCATATCAATAATATAAATATCATTGGTGTATTATTTTGCTGTGTTAGAGTACTATATAATTTAGAAAAGCATTTTTTAGCCTTTCCTTCCATGAGTCAGTTTGGTAAATAGCTGGAATTTAATGTATTGATTAATGGGAAATGAAAACTCAATTGTAGATGTTCTTTTTTTTTTTTTTTTTAGTTGTTGGTGCTAGGGATTGAACCCAGGGCCTTGGGCCTTGTGCATGTGAGGCAAGCATTCTACCAACTGAGCTACCCCAGCCCTGGAGATGTCCTCTTTGAACAGATACTTCTGTGTGCTGAGGAATCCATAGGTGTTTATATCTTAATGTAAATTTTGGAGGTTATAGAGAAACTAAACTATTAAAGTCATTCATAGCCTTCATATTTTTATTGAGAGCTTGCCTAATAGAACTTTATAAAGTATGCAGTTTCTATATTAAAGAATTTTATCACCACTTGAAATATTTAGTCCCAGTGTGATAGGAATTTTGACAAAATTTTATTTAGTACATTGCTATGCATATACATCTTATATATTCAGTACACTAACACAGTTATATAATGATTGTTTTATACATACTTCCTTTTTTTTTGGGGGGGGGGTTAGCTTTCATGTCTCTGTGACCAAAATAACTTAACTGACAAGAAAAGCTTAGAGGAGGAACAGTTTATTTGGGACTCACAGTTTCAGACGTCTCAGACCACAGATGGCTGTTTTCATTGCTCTGAGTCTAAGGTGAGAGCACATTGTGGATTAAGGGCCTGGAGGTGGTGCCAGGAAGCAGAGAGAAAAGGAGGAGAAATGGCCATAGGGAGAACGCCTGTAATGTCTGAAGTCCTGAAAGTCTCCTCTTGGTATTTATAGAGCAGGTGTACTAGAAATAAATTATGTTTTTATTTTATTTTCATGTTGGGATGTATTTCTTTATTCTTTATCCTTACCTAGAACTCCTTCATGTTTGGAGTGTATTTTTTTTTTTTTTTTTTGAACTGTCAACCCACTGTCTTCAGGACAGTGATTTCTGATGACAAATCAACTGTTAATTTGAGAATTTCTTATACATGAGGAGATTTTTCCTTGCCAATTTTAAGATTAATAATGAAAAATGAAATACTGTAAGAGTTTGGGGGTAGAGTTTGTTGTTTTCTTAGGATTCTGGGAACTGATACAAGGTAAACAAATGCATAGGGAGGAATTTTCATTTCCCAAGAGCTAAAAGAGAATCAGGAAGCAAATGGAATCACCAGTCTTATGTTATGGTGTTTCTGTCTGCCTTACTATATGTTAGATCATGAGTCTCTTGAAACGTGTGTGTGTGTGTGTGTGTGTGTGTAGTTATGTGTGTGTGTGTAGTTGTATATTTTTGTAGTATATTCAATCTGTGTTTCCTATGAGAAGACTAAGTGGTAAGAGTTTATATTTTCAGTAGGTGATGTAAATATTTATTGCCATCATTATTGGAAAAGAGGTGGGCCATGTAGATTTATGGGGTTTTGTATAAAGGTGACAAAAGTGAGAAGGAACAATTTGAAAGAGACACTGGCTGTACTCACCAATTGTGTGTGTGTGTGTATGTATGTGTGTGTGTGTGTGTGTGTGTTTTATGGTGAGGGAAGATGGGATGTTGTGTAACCCACTCATGGATGTAGCTGAAAACTTTCTCTCTTTCCCCACTTTTTGGGAATAGACTAGTTGGCTATTGGTAGTGACTTTAGGCACCCGTGTGTGGTTGCTGCAACTCCCTTGCTTATAAAGAATTGGTGAGTTATTATTGAAGAGTTGGCTTTCTGCTGTGTTAGTGTACTTCCATACTAAGGAAAATCAGTGGAGTTCTCCTAAAAATTATCAACTTTATATTCTTGCTCTAAGCAATTAGATTTAATTGGCTATCAATTCGCTGAATTTAGTTTATTTTTCTCTTGAATAACATTGAAGCAAAATTGCAATAGTTACATAAATACAGAGTGAAAGACTGAATATAAATCTGATACTGTTTATGTGAAGAGCTTAACTTAGAACCTGAGCATAAATGTGCAAATAAATGATTGTTGTTACTATTATTTTTTGTAAATTTTTTTTTTAGTTGTAGGTAGACACAGTACTTTTATTAATTTATTTATGTGGTGGTGAGGATCAAACCCAGTGCCTTACACATGCAAGGTGAGAACTCTACCACTGAGCCACAACCCCATCCCCTGTTGTTACTATTATTATTGGTAATAATCTTTTCCTAGTTAAACTCTAATTAAACAAAATTTTTAGCTGAATGTGCTTCCCCTGTGGTCAAAGTAAATCAGTTTTAAGACTCTCTCTCTATATATATTTGTTACTGGGGATTGAATTCGGGCACTCAACCACTCAGCCACATCCCCAGCCCTATTTTGTATTTTATTTAGAGACAGGGTCTCACTGAGTTTCTTATCGCCTCGCCATTGCTGAGTCTGGCTTTGAACCCATGATCCTCCTGTCTCAGCCTCCCTAGCCACTGCACCTGGCAAGACTATAAATTTAATTAAGTTTAAAGTATTTTTTTTTATTATAGCATTGTAGTTATACATAGTCGTTGGGTTCCTTTTGACAAAATCATACATGCAAGGAATTTTATTTCAATCCCCATCTTCCCTTTTCCTGTTCTTCTCCCTCCCCCTATTCTCCTTCTTCTACTCTATTGATCTTCCTTTCACTCCTTTATTTATTTACATATTTTTGATTGGTATTTTCTACATATATGTGAAGTTGAAATTCCCTTGGTAACATTTATATGTGTGAATAACATGATTTTGTTAAATTCATTCCATATTTTCTCCCATTCCTGTCCTTCCTTCTTTCCTCCACCTTCTTCTCTACTTTCTATACCATTGATCTTCTCTATATACTTATGATATTTGATCCCACCTCTCCCTACTACTGCCTTCTTCCCTTATTTTGCTCTGGTGTCCACATATGAGAGAACACTATTGACGCTTGATTTTGTGAGTCTGACTTATTTCAGTTAGCATGATATTGTCCCATTTTCATCTATTTACCAACAAGTGCCATTATTTCATTTTTCTTTATGGCTGAATAAAACTCCATTGTGTGTATATACCACATTTACTTAGTCTGTTCATCTATTGGTCTATTCATTTATTTTTTTTAAATGTATTCTTATAGAAGATACTAAGCTATGAAATTTAACATAAACTGGTAACCCTAGAGACATTGAAATGGGAACAAAATCATTTTTTTAAAAAAAGAAATATGTCTTTGGTTTCAGTTTGTAAAGTGGGAAATAACTTGGATTTGGATTCATGTAGACTTGGGGCTCTATTTGGACTCCATCATTACTCCTGCACTCTTACACAAGTTGTTACTAGTTCCAGGACCTATTTTCTTGGTAGCTATAGAGATGAAGATTTTAAAGGGGAATTGTATATATCTTGATTTACTTGCAGGGTTGGCATTACTAAGAAAGTAGACCTTATAGTAGTGTACAGATTGATCAGATTCTCAG